ATAGACAGAGCACAGGTTTGATTATCCTTGCTTTGTAGAAATTATACAGCCCTCTGCTACTGACAGTCCTCTGCATTAGTCCCAATGGGAAATGGAGGCAAGCTCTGAGGCCCAGCAGACATATTGCCTGAGCTCACTGGCTTCTGCCCTCATCTGCTGCGAGCGGTGGATGTTTTACAGGCAGGCTCTCTGATATACCTGCTCCCTCTGCCTGCACTGTGACGGCACCAGTCTCAATATAGTGTCTGGTGCTTGAGACAAGCGCTAATTAATTATTCATCTCATTCAGAGCAGCGTGGTCGGACAGTGGTGGGGGGAGTGGGGCACACTGTAAACTACGCTAGCATTGGAACCACTACACCAATCGAAGTGGGACAAAATGCTACAAGCACTTTGTCCACTTGAGGACAAAATAAAAAATATAATTAGTGACACTATTTATTATTTTCCCAGCTTCAAATATTGTATTTTTAAATGTATTTAAGTGTATGTAAATCCAAAAGCTCCATTTTATATACTGCTGCACATGCACTCTGCGACTCTAATAACTTGATGCAGCAAGAGGAGGTTAGAAAGAGGTCATATGATCACAAACTCTGCCAAAAAAGTATTTTTAATCCTTTATTGTAAAACCAAAAGGAAAACATTTTCATATCTTGCTATGCATTCGCAGTACAACTGTTTATTGTGTATTGTTCCATATCATCCACTTTTTAAAGAGACACTGTCATCTTGTCCATGCAAAGGACCCCCACCATTCTTATACACGCCTTGTCTTTGTTCCTTTGCCCCTGTTGCAACCAACACTAAAATTACTGGTGCCAGGGAACAGGCAAAGCGTTGACATTACTGTCTTGTAGAGTTGTGAAAGTGTTTAGGACTAGTGATTGGCTGATAGGCCTGAGCACTGTCATAAGGGAGGAGGTCACTTGCTCCCCTATACCCAAAAGAGCAGGGTAGTGTTGCTGGCCCTTCAATGGTTATAAACGCGGAGATATTTTCCAGGCTCCCCAATCCTGGGATTACTGTGATTGGCTGTCACATTGATCGCGCACATGATTGAACGTGCTCCCATCATATAGCGGTGTTGCCAGTCATGTGCATATAGCTGGAACAAGCAGAAATGAGGCGCTGGATAAAAATTATCACATGATCAATCAGGTTGTTACAAGGTAGAGTGGCTTTGGTGAGGCCGCCCTCAACAAAGGTGGATGTTCCAAAAGCAGGGGCCCGGATATGAAGATTCACATGTACAAAGTCCAATGAGACTGCCTATGACTCGTAAACCATACACATATGTGTATGGCCGGTGGAAAGGGGTTAAGCTTAATGAGGCCAACGCTATGATAACATGCAGTTAGGAACAGATCACTGTCCCTGGATGCATGACTGATCCATTTCTAACTGCATGTAATCGTATCACATAGGATTACATGCGGAGTGCCGGCAGACTGAGCTGATTATTAGCTTGAACGGGTGACAGCGGCCGCTTCCAAATGGTATATTTAGGATTTCTGCCGCAGGTATTTGTAGGTTCCTGCTGCAGGAATCTCAAAACATAATTCAATATTAGGTGTGAATGAAGCCTTACACCAGGGCTGGACAAATCCTAGGAGCCAGGTAGGCAATGCCCCCTAAAAATGACAGCAGACGCCTATTATATATAGTGAATGATCATACCAGATCTTTTACACCTGAGAATTTGTAGTTTATCAACCTTCCAAATTCTTGTACGTAGGAGGACTTTAATCAACCATGAACCTAGAGTCCAGGTAACAATACAAGAGTAAGGATGGTTATACATACTGGGGGGAATGCATCAAAACTGGAGCAGACAGAATCTGGAGCAGTTACCCATGGCAACCAATCAACATCTCTCTAGTTTGCTCGGGTAAGATCTGATAATGAGAGAGAGATGCCGATTGGCTGCAGTGCAAATCTGCTCCAGTTTTTGTCTGTTCCAGTTTTAATAGATCCCCCCATGTGTGTCTATTGCCACTGCTGTCTAAATTACTAAGATGCCTGAAAGAGGACATGTCAGGAAGTAATACAGGTGCTGATTTTATTTTTCAAAGTCTGAAATTCAGCCCTTCGATTCCGCTCAAGGCTTCTTACAGCTACTATCATGCTATGTGTGCCGGTCATTTTGGAGGACTTATTTCGCCCTTTGTTTTCTAAACGGAAATGCAAGTACAGCTGCTCTCCACCATTTAGCATTCGACTTCAAACTTTATTTAGCATGATGATATTAACACCACGCAAGACTTTACAAGTGCTCTGGCACATTTCACCCTTTTAAAACCCCCCCCCCCCCACTGTAGTTTACTGTAGTTAGTGCACAGATAATTCTTCTAGTTATATAACTATCGGGCCACCTTTTTATTTTCATCTTGCCAACCCCAAAATGTGTTCACAGCTCCTAAATGAGATTTCTAAAAGTATGCCAACAGATATATCAATGATCAAAAACGAAAAAGAAAGATGTATTGGCTTTCCCTAAATTCTATCTCACTTCTAATGACCATATTGATCCAGACGTTTGTAAATGTAGTTATTGAAGATGCCCATAGGATGTACTTCATCCATGCACAGACACAGTTTCACTCCGCCCTGTGAATATACACTTCCTTGTGTTACAGCTCACGCAGCCTGCCTTCTGAACTACATCTCAACGTCTGGACACTGTAACATTATCATTGCTTGCTGGAAGCAATGCATTATGGACTATGTAGTCTTGAGAAATGGAGATTGCATCACATCAAGCAGCAGGGAAAGAGATGCAAAGCACACTGGGAATCCAGGAAGTTGATGAAAGTGATGGGCAGACAGAAGGGAGCGCTCACTATATAAAAGGGATTTGTTTTCAAGTAAGCTTTGATTGCATTATCAAAACATCTCTAGTATGTATTCCTATTACAATGCTGATGTTATACCAGGTGAGGATATGCCGGGACTTTACAACTCTTTTAAAGCAAAACTTTAGTGTAGAAAAAGAAATGAGTTTGCAGAACGACAGTTGTTACAAAAGAGGCTCTATATATCTCTTGTACAGAGAAGCGTCTTGTATAGATTGGACACTAAACCTCTCCACACACAATACAGTCTGAGTGTACAATCTCTTGTAGATCCAACAACATCTATAGAGTGCAGGGGCCTGCCTAATTGTATACAAATTGATTGGCTACTCTAAAATGCTGGCCTGTTGGGTCTCTGGTACAGGAAGTGAAGCAAAATCTCCCCAAAGGAACCCATATAACAGTCCTGACACATGAAAACTTTACTACCGTGTTTCCCCGAAAATAAGACACTGTCTTATATTTTTTTTGGCTCAAAAAAAACACACTAGGTCTTATTTTCGGGGGAGGTCTTATTTTTTATTTGTTTTTAATGTACAACAATCCAAAGTTAATGCAAATCCAAATTAAATAATCCAAAATGGCAAAGTTAAGAATAGGGTGATCAGGGCAATCAGGAGTGCCGTACCTTTCCAAGAGCAATTTGGTAACCAGAAAAAGCGAAGCGCACTTTCACTATCGATTCCTCACAGGCGGAGTGCATTTGGTATCACTCCGCCTGTGACAGGAGTCGGCGCTCCATGTGATGCCGCCTCGCTTCCTCTAGTGCTGGCTTCATTGGCACCACTCATTCTCTCCCGCGGCTCTTCAGGTTCCCCCTTATGCCACCACCAGCCCTGGCAATGGTCACAACTAGGTCTTATTTTCGGGGTAGGTCTTATATTTTACCAATTCCCGAAAATAGTACTAGGTCTTATTTTCGGGGTAGGTCTTATTTTCAGGGAAACAGGGTACACAGGAGGTTGTATAGCAACATAATGCTGGAGTGGTCATTGGTCAGCACAGCCACGTGACCACACCGACCAATGAGAATCTCTTCTTTCTTCCAGGACATGGCTGCTGACCAATGACTGCTCCCCATTGCAAGCATTATGTTGCTATGGGGCTGTGCAGTGACCTTTTCAAGCATCAGAAGTGTTACAGGGGCTCCTGTGGGTGGCAGGTGATGTGGGGAGAACAAGGAGTTGTTGAATTAGTTCACCTTAGTTTTTGTTACAGAGTGAAGTAACCCTTTAACTCTAGGGCAAGTGGTGGGCAAACTCCGGCCCTCCAGCTGTGGTGAAACTACAAATCCCATGATGCATCTGTCTGTGGGAGCAATGCCTGTGGCTGTGAGAATCTTGCAATGCTTCATGGGATGTGTAGTTCCACCACAGCTGGAGACTCTGGGCTGTGAACTGTTCCTCAGAGCAATGCAGGACTGTTGTCTTGGCATTGTATATATGATTGTGGCAGCATGTGACCGCGGGCCGAAGCGCCATAGAAAAGAGACTTCAGGGGACCAGGTGTATAGATGGAGGAAACCTGCCGGAGCCAGGATTAGCTTATATATTACAACGTATTGCAATGTGGGCGTGAGGTGGGCACCGGAAGAGTTTTTCTGTGTCATTCCTGGAGTTCAGCACACTAGAAAGTTCCTATATACAGAGAAGCAGCTCCATGTTTACATCAGAGCTCGTCCAACACTCAGCCAGGCGTCAGAAAACTTCCAATGAGCGCTGCCAGTGACAGTGGCGCCGCTAGTGACAGTGGCAGAGTACCATAGCGTGCTCTTTGTCCCCAGTCCCACCCCCCGGCTGTTGCCATCTGACAAGCGGGTGACACCGGGGCCTGCGAGCCGCACAATGTACATAGCCCGGGCTCTGAACAATGCCTCATGACAGACCCGGCCGGGCTTACACACCGATCACTTCCAGCCTTCCCCCAGTCCTCCCCGGCTGCACTTCCCAATTTAGATCCGCCTGGAAATGTCACTCCAGACCCATCCGCCCACCTGATTACTGGACAAGTTTACCAGCAGCCATCTGCCACCCCCCCATAACCGGCACTTCCTGCCTGCACCCCAACACCAGCCTGTGTACCCGAACTGTGACCTCTCTATATCCGATCCCCCTGTGTGAAAACAGCTCCCTACTATCCACTTACCTTGAATGCCATGCTGTGACCCCTCTGATCACTTGTAGCCCCGGATCAGACACACGGGGAAGCTGATACACTGCCTCTTCCTGTCCCAGCCTCTGGCGGTGTGTACACGGCTACTGACTCCCTCTATCTACAGCCTGGGAGCACTGCCACCGCCTCTGATCATCATCACATCACACTCTACAGCACACTCAACGTCATCTCATACAATGACATCACAACAACAATGGAAAATCAGAGTCAACCTGTGCATTCCAATGTTATTAAAAACCTTACAAATAAATACACACACACACATGTATGAAAACAAATGTGCATTTATTAAAGGGAAATTACAGCTTTTCCATAAATTAATTAATAAATTGATAAAGACACAAATCTATAAAAAGAAAAAAAATGCCTTTATTAAAAATAAATTCCAGCTTTTCCATAAATTAATTAATAAATGGACACATATAAAAAGAAAAAAATATGTGCATTTATTAAAGCGCAATTCCAGCTTTTAAAAATCTTTAAAAGGAAAAACAAATGTGCATTTATTAACCCCTTCATGACTGAGGCCTTTTTTTCTCTCCATTTTTTTTGCACCCATGTTATATTTCACATTTTAGGCCTGAAAATTACTTAAAACCCCCAAACATTATATATTTTCTGAAAGCCAAGACTCTATAGAATAAAATAGTGGCAGTTGCAAATTTTTATGATGCACGAAATTAGCCCAAATCCTTATCAAACCTCAAAACGTAGTGAAAAAATGCACTTAAATGCCCTAAAACACAATACAATACCCATTTTTAAAATACAATATAATAGATGAGGTTACAATGAGTAAATAGATACCAAACATGCCCAGGTTACAAAATTGTGTGCGTCCTGAAATGGCGACAAAATTCAGTACCCCCAAAAGTCCATAGAAGACGCTTTAAAAGCCTCCACAGGTCATCAGTTTAGAGATACCCCAAAATACTGGCCCTAGAATTATTGCTCTCACTCTGTGTAGCGCGTTCGTCGTTTTCAAACGTAGGCGTTATTATTTTTACATTTATTTTATTTACTTTAATTGCTATCACATAGGAGGGCTTACAAGCACCCCATGTGATGGCAGATGGTGGTGACAGGCACTCTTTAAGGTGATGTGGGGGGTCCAAAAGACCCCCAGTGTCACCTTTACACTCTAAAAAAGCTATTGAAGTGCAGATCACACTTCAATAGCTTATTGCTGGGCTTCAGACGCCCAGCGCTGACAGCTATGGGCCCAGAAGTGATGCAATCTGCATCGCTCCCGGTACCATAGAACGGGCAGGGGATCGACGAACGTAGGTTCGTCCATCTCCTTCCCAGCTTCCCGCCGACACCAAAGAAGCCGGTCCCGGGCCCGTAGGAGGGGCAACGGAGCCCAGGAAACACGGCAGGGGTGTCGGGCGTGTCACCCGTTCACCGGCCCGTAGAATCGATTTGCCGGCAGCTGAGCCACCAGAATTGCTTCTACTGTAAAGCTGCGATGCCAGTGAAATACACTGTACGTTGGTCGTGCAGGGGTTAAAGGGAAATTCCAGCTTTCCAAAAAATACATTACTTAATTAATAAATGCACACACATCTATAAAAAGAGAAAAGTGCATTTGTGAAAGAGAAAGTCCAGCTTTTCAATAATAATACATAAATAAATGCACACACAGATCTAGAAAAAGAAAAAGTGCATTTAAGGGAAATTCCAGCTTTCCACAAATAATAATAAATGCCCACTTTTAAAAGCATTTATTATTTTCTTTTTTTTTGCATTGGAGCCAGTAGAGGATTGTATATTGTAAAGCGCTGCGCAAACTGTTGGCGCTATATAAATCCTGTATAATAATAATAATAAACACAATCAGTATATCACGGGTGCAATGCTCTGACTCCTGCAGATTCTCCCTCCTGTCCATGTTTACTTTGAGGTATGGACATGTGCTGTGACCATGTTTCATGTTACACCCGGAATATGGGTGTCACATGAAACATGGTCAGAAAGGTAAACTTGAAAGGTAAAGCCTTTAAAGTGATAATCAAATCAAAAGGCTTTAACGATATTTCAAATGCTGATTTAAATTACTCACAATGGATTCTGCTTGTTGATGTATAAAAGTGTTAGTTTCCTGTAGAATCAGCTGGTCCCCTGAGCACTGGCCCTGATATCCTGTTTTAGGCTGTCTCCTTTCATTTGCAGGGTCCTATGGAGTCACCCTTGTGTGTACTAGAAAGCTGCGTGTGCCTTCACAAACCCACAGGAACAGCAAGGCCAGGCATTCATCTGCTCCCCACACTCCTATTCCCTCCCTTCTCCATGCTGGTAGATGAAGAGCGGCTGGAGATTGCTCTGTCCCTTGTGATCATATACTGGTCAGGACGTTCAGGGAAGTGGAGCTGAGAGAGTGCGTGTTTCATAGAACAGGAAGGTGTGAACAGGGACTTAGGCTGGGTTCACACCTGGGCGTTCGTAATATGTGCGTTTGTACTAATAGTACCTGTACTATTTCGGGCGTAGGACGTTTTTCAGCGCATCTAAACGCACTGAAATACGCCCAGGTGGGGACCATGCCCATAGGAATTAATAGGATTTCACTGCTTGAGCGTTTTTCAGCGCCCAGGTGTGAACCCAGCCTTAGAGGAAGGGGAGGGCATGGCAATGTAAACATTGCCCTGTGATGACCAATCACAACAATCATAAGACAGCGGGTGCAGCAGCTTGGTAAACACGCAAGGACGTACAGGTATGTCGTCCCGGAATCATGGCTCCAGCTGTTTATATGCAGTGGGTGGTAAGTAATTGGTTAAAGGAGAACTATGGGGTCAGTGTTTTTCCCCATAGTTCTCCTTAGGGTAACGGGAGGACACAAACTAGCGTCCTCCCATCACCCTAAGCTCAGTATACCGCGAGCTATAGCTCACGGTATACTGAGACGCCGCAGCTGAAGCGGATCCCGACAATTATGCCGGGATCCGCCCAGCTGCGTGACTGACAGCTGGCTCTGCCTATCTAGAGGCAGAGCCAGCTGTACCCGCCCCCTCCCCCGTCCGTTCCGCTAGTCAGCACTCTCCCCTGTCTAGCTCCTCCCCTGTCACAGCAGAGAGCCGTGACAGGATCGAGAGGTGAGCGAACGCCGGTATGTTTTTGCTCACCTCCCGATCTACTTGGTAGACACGCAAGGACGTACAGGTACATCGTCCCGGAATCATGGCTCCAGCTGTTTATATGCAGTGGGTGGTAAGTAATTGGTTAAAGGAGAACTATGGGGTCAGTGTTTTTCCTATCACCTCATAGTTCTCCTTTAAAGTAGAACTAAAGCCAAAACATTTTTTTATGGTTTGGATAGAGTGGAGAGAGTTTAGGGCACTTTTCAGGTCTTAAAGTGTTTGTACCCCTAAAAATGAATATATTCGGATTTTTCATTTCCTTTTAATAAACTGCCCTGTACATGTGGTTTCTTCTGTCCTGGAAAATACCCGGTGATCCTGCCAGTCCTCCTATCTTCATGCTGCATCCTGACCACACCAAGCACGGAAGCAGATCTGTGCTGGCCTGATCAGTATGCGTTCCTAACCTTACTGAGGGGGGCTACAGGATGCAGTGCCTTTTGTCCCAAAGTCAGCATTAAAGAAGAACTCTAGGCAAACTTTTTCTTAGCCTCTGCAATGGGCTACCCCCGCACTGCAAGGGTTAAGTGCTTGTTTTTGTCTGGTGCAAAAATAAAAAAAGTTACACTCACCTGATCTTTGCAGCCAGCCGGTTATTCCAGTGCTCCCTCTGCATCCTCATGTCCTATACACTGTGTATAGAACGTGATAACTCACAGGCCTTAGACCTCTGCAGAGGAGGGGGAGAGAGGCTGCAGGGACCGGTGTAAGAATAAGCAAGCTCCGAGGATCGGATGAGAATAACTGTTATTTGTGCACCTACACAAAAATGAGCACTTAACCCCAATGCAAGGGTTAATAAAAAGCTTGCCAGCAGATTTCTGCTTTAAGGCCATGCCCCTCCACTCAACATAAGATTTTGAGTGGTCACCTGAACAGGAATAGATGGGAAATCTTTTAATGGGGGGACTAGTTCTGACACTAGTTTCCCTCACTTTAGAGAGGGATTTCCTCTCACGTCCTGTTGTGGCTGTGGGTTAGGAAGTGAAGTAAAATTTCCCCAAAAGAGTTTTGGCTTTAGTTTTACTTTAATTTTGAAATCCAATATGTGATCTCCAGTTTGAAATAATCATATTGGCAGATTCTATTGAATAGATCAGACTTTATGCAAGACTTGTAAAGAAAAAGTTATGGTTAGCCGTATCGAATGGCAGCTGCTTGTTAACAAGAGTAAACTGCTGTACATAAATCATGAGGCTGTCAAGGGATGAGGTTCATCAGCATGCTCAGCAAAGTGACATGACATGATTTCACGGAGCGATATTGGATGACAGGTTAGCTGTGTGGAAACTGATCCAGATAAAATCCAATTTAGAGACATGTCAAGGGGCGATTCTGCAGAATCATCCAGGTGAGGGAACCACCGTCTCTGCTTAGGGTTGTCACCAGGCCAGTGAACAAAGGACTTGTTGCCTACGTTATTATCAGGAAAGAGATCAAAGGGCCAGACTTTTTTCTTGAAAAGGTGGCACCCTTACCTGTGATAATGTTGTGGGTCCAGCCAGTGGCGTAACTAGAACCTTCAGGGCCCCGGTGCAAGAAACCATGAAGGCCCCCCCAACCGCAATGGCACCGCATGGTTAACAGGAAGGCTGCCGAGGTCCACATCAAGCGAGGGACCTCGGGCAGCCGCTTGTTTAAAATTTTAGTGCCGGTGTTCTGTCGAGAACGCTGACCCAGTATCTGCGCTTACGTACAGACGGGATTAACGAGGAAACCGCCATTTATTTACAAAGTATTCGTTTGTAATGGTTAATTGTGACTGTTAATAATATACCGTCCATGGCAGTAAATGATAGACGGCATATTATTAACGGTCACAACGATTTAAACAAAATACTTTGTGAATAAATCCCGGTTTCCTCGATAATATTGGTCTGTGCGCAAGCGCAGATGCTGAGGTCGGCAAATTCGACTACGTTGGCGTTCTCGACAGAACACCGGTATCTGCGTTTAGTATCGGGGCATTTTCACGAGTATGAGTACTTGCCCAGTATTGGCACTGGTGTATCCCATCTTAAAAATATAATGCATTGCTGGGACTTTTAGTCCTACATATTTGGAGCTATTCTGCATTGCTGTATAATCATCTAATCATCATACAGCACTGTATAATCATCACAC